TAAAAAATCAGCTTTAATTTAAATTTTATTCAACCCAAGTAAAACCAAATACTCAACCCAAGTAAAATCAAATACATCCCAGCCCAACACTTTCATTTTCTTTGGTAAAATTGAAAACTGGGCTCTTCACTTATCTAGCCCAAAGAGAAAAACTGAATAAAAGATTTCCCAGCCCAAAACCAATTACTGTTGGTGTTGAAATCGAAAGTGAAACCACGAAATTCCCAAATTCACTCTTTCCCGGCTTCTGGCTTCTCAATCTCCCTCTGCTGCGCGCTCTCGCCTCTCAGTATCGAATTTGCTGGGCAGCCTAACTAAGGAGTTTATAACCTCTATAAATATGGTCATTAGTCGTCCCTGAATCTGCTATAAATTTGTTCGTCGGGAGTTTGTAATGGCTTCTCAATCTCCCTCTCTGCTCTGCGCTTTCTGCTCTCGAATCGAGTCCCTAAGTAAGGAGTTTATAACCACTATAAATCTACTCGTCAGTCGTCCCTGAACATATGTGCTTCCAGCCTCTCGTCTCGTCTATAATCGCTTCCGGCCTCTCGTCTTGTAAGTGCAGTCAATATATACTTTTATGCGAAACAAATTGTGTGGCAATGTGTTTGACTTAATGACATTGAGAAGAGTCATTTATTATGTATGGTTTGAATGTGACTTGAATGTATGGTAATGGTATGGAGACACCCACATTGGCTCGTTGGAAATATAGAACTCCAAAAACATTTTGCTTGACTGCATATAGAGCTAAAATAGAATTTTTGAAATTATCCATTTGTTATTTGGGAACCATGATAATATTGCTCATCTTCTAGATGTATAATGTAACTTCTAGGTTATTCACTTTATCAAGCAATATCATATTAGAATTTTGGTAAATTTCACATTACGGCAAATCTTTTGATTTACTGCTTCATGCAATTGGCTTTCAGTTTACATATTGCACTTGTTCTGTCAGAATGAATATGCTACCCTATAGAGTTGAATACTCTTTTTTTAGTGATAAAACAGAGATTATTATAGAAGACGGTTAAGGTATTGAAAATGATTTTACACTTGAATTCGAGTAGGTGCAAATAGAAGTATTCAGCTGGCTCCCTGTAGCTATTCCTTGTGTCCTTAGTACCCGTTTGTCTTAGCTGGGGTTTGGCTAAAAGAACACCTTGTTGGTCTACTATACTGCTTAATATTATATATAACTGAAATGTGTGTATTAAAGAATCTTCTTTGCCAGATGGTTATTGGAACCATGAGAACCTTACTTAGGGAGGCAAGACTCTGGCCCAAAATAAGTTTAGCCAAAACATGCAAAATGTCTAGTTGAACTTGAATTCCAGCTCATTGTGTTTATCTTTGTTTGTTTATTCAGTTACTTTTGTGGTAAAAAAAATAAATAAATAAAAATAAAAAACACACTATATTCAAGCCTTTTTGGTATTTCATAATTGATTAGGAGTTTCTTTACAAACTGTTACAAGTGGGGGGCCTGCCTTGAAATCTTTTGTTGTTCATATTCTTTTGTATATTAACTTTGACGTCATGTTGAATAATATGATTTTTTTCGTATGTAGATAATCGGATATGGATTCGACTTTAGAAGAGCAAAGTAATCATGGGACCGATGATAAAATTCCAATAAAGAGTGAAAATGTGAATTTGCAACAAAGTGTGAAGGGTAAGAAGGGACATAAAAGGTCCTATGTGTGGGCTCATTTTGATATAAAGAATGATGGAACTGTAGAATGCATTTATTGTGGACAAGTGTATAAGCATCAATCTAAAGGTGGGACTAGTACATTGCGAAATCATATCGAGGATTTATGCAAAAAATATCCATATAGGTTTCAAGACAAAAGGCAAAAGACATTAAATTTCTATTGTAACTCTAGAAATGATGAGGTTTTAGAGAGTGTTAGTAGTGGTGGACAACTTGTCAAGTTTACTCAAAAAGGAGTGAGAGAACAAATTACTAAGTACTTTATATTATCTGAGTTACCTTTTCGACACGTTGAAGATGAAGGTTTTCAGTGTTATACAAGGTATTTTTTTCCAACTTTTGATTTTCCTTCAAGGATGACAGTTGCTAGGGATATATATCGTTTGTTTCTGGATGAGAAGAAGAAATTGAGGAAAGAATTGAGTAAACACCGGGTTTGTTTGACTACTGATTGTTGGACATCTATACAAAATGTAAGTTACATGTGTTTGACTGCTCATTGGGTTGACGATCATTGGAGACTTAAAAAACGAATCATAAGTTTCATCCAAGTCCCCAGCCATAAGGGTGATATGGTAGGAAAGGAATTGATATCTTGCCTTCAGGATTGGGAAATTAATAAGATTTTCTGTGTGACGATTGATAATGCCTCATCTAATGACGTAGCAATAATGAAATTGAAGAGTTGTTTTCTAGAGAAGAATAATGGTCTAGTTCTTGGGGGAGAAATGCTTCATATGAGGTGTTGTGCTCACATTCTCAATCTTATAGTTTGTGATGGTTTAAAAGAAATTAGCAATGCTATTTCATCTATTCGCAATGCTGTACGGTATGCTAGATCTTCCCCAGCACGACTAAAAAGATTTCGAGAGAGTTGCAAGGATGCAAATATTGAGTCTCGAGGTTTATTGTGTTTGGATGTATCAACTAGATGGAATTCCACCTACATGATGTTGCAGGCTGCAATAAAGTTTAAAAAAGCATTTGACGTTTTGGAAAGTGACGCAAACTATACAAAGTACTTTGATGAAGAAAGGTCTAATGGGAAAAATATAGATGGACCACCAACACATGTCGATTGGGACCAAGCAGAAGTATTTGTTGGATTCTTGAAGACTTTTTATGACATGACATTGAAAATTAGTGGTTCTTTATATGTAACGCCAAACACTTTCTTTCAAGAAATATGTGAAATTCATGCGGAGTTGAATGAATTAGCTAAAGAGCCAAATAGTATGATAGGATCCATGACAGTTAGCATGAGAAGAAAATATGATAAGTATTGGGGCAATCTTGAAAAGTTTAATCAATTGTTGTTCATAGCAACAATTCTTGACCTTAGATGCAAGTTGGAATTGCTTAAAGTTAGGTTTGAACTTATTTGTGATGTACAAATTGCAAATATGTTGTTAAAAAAAGTTGAAAACACACTTCACAGGTAATATGAATGCTATAAGGAAATGATGACTCCACCATTAGTCCCACCTAAGGATGCTACTCAACCTAGAAGCCAAAGTGCTTTACAAACTACTTTGGGAACTTCTAAACTTGTTCCCTCAATTTTTAGAGCTAGGCTTATGCAAGAAACTCAAGCAGAGAAGAATGATTTGGTGGATTATTTAAATGATCGTTGTGAAGATTTGACCAATGATGATTTCGACATATTAAATTGGTGGAAATTGAATGAAAATAAGTACAAGATTGTCTCTCAAATTGCCAAGGATGTGTTAGCCATTCAAATATCTACGGTTGCTTCTGAGTCTGCATTCTCTACTAGTGGTCGGATTCTCGATCTCTTTAGGAGTTAATTGAGTGCAAAGATGGTTGAGGCAGTGATTTGCACCAAGAATTGGTTACATAGTAACAAGGAACCTATTGTGATTCGTCAATATTTGGATGAAGTAGAAGCATTGGATGATTCAGAAAAAGCAATAGAAGGTATTATCGTATTTTATCTTTTTATTCACTTTATTTTATAGTTTTTACACCTTTTAATTTTAATAAATGCATATATTTGTTATATGCAGATAACAAATCATGTGTTACTACTAGAGATGTTTTGCCAATTAGTATTGATTAAGAGGTTAGAACAAATTGTTTCACTGCATTGAATTATTAGAGCTGAAAAATATTTGTTCATAGTATTTATAATAATACTAATATTTATATTTTAACGTGATATTTAAGATTAAAATTTATGATTTAACTTGTTTGATGGACATTTTTTTCGTTAAACCGTGGTTTTAAACCGAACCACACTGAAAAAGGTGGTTTGGATTAGTTTGGTTTCGAAATTGACTTGGTTTGGTTTGGTTTGAAAAAATTTCAAACTGCTTTAAGTGGTTTGGTTTGAAAATTTGTCACAAACCGTCCAAACCGAACCTTGTGCACCCCTAGTTTAGGGTCATCTTAGTTGGACATGTATAATTTACTTTAGTGCCATGCCAAAAAAAAAATTCGTCCTCGAATCTTAAATTATTATGACTAGTAAAATACAATGAGCACCACCATAGTGTAGTTAGAATTTTTATGTGGATATAATATGTATATATTACAAAAAATTCAATTTTTCTATATAACTTTAGAAAAATTTTGAAAATTTAATCGGGGCGGTCGCCACCCTGCTCCTCGTCCCTCCGACGCTAACCATAGAGTTGTTTCACTGATGCTCAGCCGAAACTTAACCTGCGTTTCCATTTGAATACTCACCAAAGAAAACACTTCTGCACTAGCACAATTTTAACGTATTTTAAAGTTTATTGCAAGCCATTAAATCATTTAGAAAATAAATCTTCAGAGTAGAAAATAGGACGAAATCACTCAAAATTATACATTCATATATAAATACGTACATACACACATACATACATTAAGGTAATTAAAACCATATTCAAACAATGTATTGTTTAAGCATGCATTCATTTTGTTGATACACTAAAAGTGCAGCCCAAATCAAATAGCCCAAATAGTGAAACCCAATTGGGGAATCCAGGATAAAGGTCCAAATAGGATTATTGATGAATCTGGTGGAAGCCCACGAACACGGTAACATCATCGCCCAAGCTTGCAAAACGCCCAGAATCTGAGCGAATAGAATACCTTACGGTCGCCCAGAGCGATGAGCACGTTCTCGCCCAAAGTTTCAAATCGCCCAGGATCTTAGCAAGCATAAAACATTATGGTTATCTAGAATAGCAGTTATTGAAGCAATTATTGAGTGATCTTATCACATTCCACGATTCAAGGAGCCCAGTTGAAGGCGATTGAACGATAAAGAGTAATGGCAACAGTTAGGGACGGCAGTTCCACGACAAGTTAGCTACTATAAAGAATGTGGGTAGTTATACAACAATCAAACAGTTTCCAAGTGGTTTGTCACGAAGAAATCATCAAAGGAATATAAAAGGAAGAAAAGATATAGAGAAAAGGACCCCGAATCAAATACTCTCAAACAGAGAATATGTAATTTCAATTTCTTAGTTTAGACTTAAACATTTCTTTTAGTACTCGTGTGCTTGTGCCCCTTGGAGGCATTCTGTTTAGTTTCAATTGTAAATCATCGCCAATAAAACACCCCTTTTTGGGACTTTGTCTCGAGAGGTCTATTCCTTACACAATCGTCTGATTCTTTTTTAATTGTTAGCGATTACCCGCGTGAAACAATTTGGCATGCCCAGTGGGACCTTGGTGTTTGGTGTTGAAGATACAAAAGGTGAAACAATATGCCTCACAAATCTGATAAGGAAGTAGCAAGTCAGGGAGGAGTTCAGTCTGTGATTGAGCGATATAAGGAGCAGCAAAACTCTCCACGAACAGAGGGACAGAGTCAGAGCAGTCACAGTCGTTACGAACCAATGACAGAGTTGAGTCCTCGAACCATGCATTCATTGCTTGGAGAACTCACACAGGATGTAGTTGAATAGGTAAATCTACGAAATGTTCATAATATCGAAAAATTTACCCAGAATGGGAATGCACATTATGACAACATGGCCAAACAACTGAATACATTAAATGAAATAATGAATAAGTTAGTAGGCCAAATTTGTCAGCCTGTTGTGCCTATTGCAAATTACTTTCAAACTAAGACAATCGTGGGATATAATTCCCCAGTCCTAAGTCCAAATCAGGGGATAGAACCACCTTTTGGTCCACCTACTTCAAACTAGGGGGATGGTGCAAGGCCAAATCAGAATAGTGGTAATGGTACATCTAACTTGGGGGTAACCTAAATATAAGAGATAATGTCCTAAATAATGGACAGAATACCCCACGTGTCAATGATGGAATAAATATTCAGGCTAATGGTAACAATGGCCCAAATCATGGTAACTTTGTTGCCAACCAAGGGCCAAACATCAGGCCTCAGGCAACTCAACCGACCAACCAACATGTAGGAATTCCATATGACCTCAACGTCATGTTGGGAAATCAAATTATGGAAATAGTACAGGATCAAATGGCTTTTGGGGTACGTCCTGTCATTTGGCCGACTTACACAAAGCCACACTTTGATTGGATAGACCAAGCATATCCATGGCCTAGAGGGTATAAAGTGCCAGAATTCTCATTATTTATCGATTTAGGAGAGGTGTCTACTCTAGAATACATAGGGCGATTCACACTGCAAAGTGGTGAAGTAACCGACTACCATAAAATGAGATTATTCCCTAGTTCATTAACAGGAGTAGCTTTCTCTTGGTTCATCAATTTGCCAGCGAACTCTGTTCAAACATGACAACAATTGGAGCAATTGTTCCATGCTCAGTTTTATAAGACTGAGTTTGAAGTTACTTTGGCCAATTTGGTGAATCTATGTCAAATGCTAAACGAATGGGCAGAAGGTTTCCTTCAAAGGTTCAAGACAGCAAGAAGTAAATGTTTTGTGCCTTTGCCCGAAAAGGAGTTTGTCAAAATCGCTCAAAGTTGGTTAAGCTTTGATTTGAAAAAGAAATTCCAAGACAGAGAATTTCCTGATCTTTTCCAATTGAGCGCAAACGTGATTAGGTATGAACGATTAATAAGAGAAGAAGAGCAAATGAAAAATTCTAGCAAGGGGACTTATTATAGAGACCCAAACTTTGATGTTCATACCTAAGAAGAAGATGGCAGTGGATGAAAACCCTTTTCCACAGCCACTTGGGGTGAACATGGTGACGATTGGTTTCAAAAAAAAGTTGCCAAAATTCATGTTGGTTATAGATGATAGAGAAGAGGACCCTGGGCCACACCCTAGTGTCTTTGAACGCATCAAAGGGAAGGAGCCTAAAAAGGATGAAGACGTCCTGTGTGCAGGATGTAAAAGAGAAATGAGTGCAAATACAGAGAAACCAGGGATATGGCAGCATCACCATCGCCCTAGTTTTTTCCCAAACGCTCAGCCTGGTAGAGGACGAGGTATATCATTCTATAGGGGACTGTCTTTTAAGAGGCAGTTCAGGTCAATAAATAATGGGAGAACATTCAGGCCGCAACCTCGCCAACTAAATGTATGGCATTCGTTCCAGTATAATGCAGGAAGGGTGATACCCTTCAATGAGATGATTAGAACCCAACAAAGGCATTTTCAACGAAATTATGGACGAATGATGAGGCAACAACAGGGAGTGCCACATCCTAAGGTGCCTAAACTACTCGAGGTGGCCAATCAAAATGTTCTTGAAGACAGTGAGAAGACTAGTACAGGTAAATCAATGGAAGAATTGCCAGAGAGTTCTTCTGGGATATTGAAGTTTGAGCGAGGTAGAAGGGATGGAGAAGATCCAAATCAGTCCCTTACTATTCAGTTTGGTACGTTACCTCCTTTCATGACTAATAACTATTTACTAGCCAATGAGTTTAAGAACAAAGAGAAAGAAGAAGAAGAGAGGGAGGGTAACGAGGAAGAGGCATGTGTGATGGAATGTGAAGAAGGCCAAACTTCTAGAGGGGCCTACAATGGTGAAGAGGATGATGGTATGACGGACATCAAAGAGGAAATTGATCTGAAAGCAGAAAGAAGAAAGAGAGGAGTATCGCATAATACTCTGTTGAAGCAACTACATTGAGAGGGAGTTCGTGAAGTGGACTTGTTGGGGGAACCGTCTGGGCGTTCTTTCGATTATTACGTGCTGTACGGGATGCCGAAGAGGAAAAAGAGAGTACCTCACTCTGAAAAGTATGGATTACCTCCAAGAATAATGCCTCCTCCTATAGGTTGGGTAACCAAAGAAGAAGCATTAGAAAACAATAAAAAGGAAATTCAGAAAGCGGAAGCTCAGTACGATATACTGCATGTTGACTTATCACAAAAGGATAATTCAACAGAGAACAAGCAGGAAGTGGAAATAGATACTGCAGAAAGGGTTATTTTTAAGAGACCAGCCATAAAGTTAACTAAACACTTGAGACTATTGAACGTTAAGGCTTTAGTTAACAGTATACCTGTGGCGAAAGTACTTATCGATAATGGAGCAGCTATAAACACCATTCCATCTAGGATGATGAGGAAATTTGCAAAGACAGAAAGTGATGTGATTCCAACAGAAATCATCTTTACAAGTTTCAATGGAGGAGCAACTTCAGCTAAAGAGGTTATGCCATTGGACATAACTGTAAGGACAACTACTAGGACCACGTCTTCTTCGTAATAGATGGTCATACTAGTTACAATGTGTTATTAGGAAGGGAATTGGACGATGAAGTAATGAGGATCACCAAGCCTGGATACGCTCAAGCACAAGATCCTCTGATTAAAGTAAATATTGGCAATGAAGGGAAAGATTGCCCAATATTCGTCAGCCAGATGCTCGATCAAGAGGTTAGTGATAAATTAATCACTTTATTAAAGGAATGGATTGTTTTGCTTGGGAATATGAACATATGCCTGGTTTAGATAGAAATTTGGTGGAACATAGATTGCCAACCAAACCAAATTTTAAACCTCATAAGCAACCTCCTAGGCATTTTGCTCCTAATGTACTTCCTGAGATTAAAAAAGAAATAGAGCGATTATTAAAAGTAGGCTTTATTAGAACAGCCAGATATGTAGAGTGGTTGTCCAATATCGTGCCAGTGCTAAAAAAGAATGGTAAATTAAGGGTGTGTATAGACTTTAGGAACTTGAACATAGCCACACCCAAAGATGAATATCCAATGCCTGCGGTAGATTCGACTGCCGGACATGTAATATATTCCTTCATGGATGGGTACTCAGGATACAATCAAATTTATATAGCTGAAGAAGATATACACAAAACTGCTTTTAGGTGCCCTGGATCTCTAGGATGTTTTAAATGGATAGTTATGCCTTTCGGCCTAAAAAATGCAGGAGCGACTTATCAACGGGCAATGAACTTGGTTTTTCATGATATGATAGACAAGTTTGTTGAGGTGTATGTAGATGATATAGTGGTCAAATCCATTAAAGAAGAGGACCATTTTGAACAATTGAGATGTTCATTTGAGCGAATGAAGCAATATAAACTAAAATTGAATCCTTTGAAATGTGCATTTGGCGTTAATGCAGGAAACTTCCTTGGTTTCTTAGTACACAAAAGGGGAATTGAACTTGATAAAAATAAAGTGAAGGCCATTTTAGAGGTCAAACCACCTAGCAATAAAAAGGAATTGCAAAGGTTCCTAGGCCAAGTATATTTTTTAAGGCGCTTTATTTTTAACTGTGCAGGGCGAGCTAAAGCATTTTCGCCACTTTTAAAGCTGAAAAATCAGGATTAATTCGTCTGAAAAGAAGAGCATCAAAAGTTGAAAGCCTAAAGACATATTTATCAAATTCACCAGTGTTGGTGTTACCAATTCAAGGACGGCCAATGAAAGTGTATGTATTGGCTGAACAAGAATCAATAGCTAGAATGGTCGCGCAAGAAGACCAATTTGGTGAAGAAAGGGCGATTCACTACTTGAGTGGACGGTTAACAAAATGTGAATGTAATTACTCTGTCATTGAAAAATTATGTCTTGCATTGTATTTCACGTGTACAAAATTAAGGACTTATTTACGGTCCCTAACCGTTTATTTGATTTCTAGAGTAAATTTGGTTAAGTATATGTTCTCTCGCCCTATTTCACATCAGAGGGTAGGCCTTTAGACGTTAGCATTATGAGAATTCGAAATACAATACATACCCCAAAAGGCAATAAAAAAATCAGGCTTTGACTAACTTTCTGGCCGATCATCCATGCATTGACATGCCTGAGGAAATCGAATTAGAAATCAATTCATTCGAATTAAAACCTTGAGTTCTATATTTCGACGGGTCGAAAACCTCTAAAGGGGCAGGAGTAGGAGTAGCATTGATAAATCCTTTAGGGATTTGTTACAAGTTCGCATTCACTTTGGATAGGATGTATACCAACAATCAAGCCGAGTATGAAGCCTTAATCATGGGTTTAGAATTAATGATAGATAAGGATGTAAAGAATGTGATTGTTAGAGGCGATTCTCAATTGGTAATTCACCAATTGATCGGTGATTTTAAATGCCAAAGTGATTCCATTATAAGTCAATATGAAATCGCCCAAGAATTGTTGAAAGAATTCGACCAAGTAGAGCTTCAATGTGTTAATAAGATATATAATGACATAGCAAATGAGTTGGCCCAAATGGCCTCAGGGTATTCAAAAGCTTTAAATTGGAAATCTACTTATGAATATAGAATAATATTGCCCGTAGTCCAAAGAAGGGCAAGAAGGATTGAAATTCATTGCGTACAAGATGGAGATGCAATAGATTAGAGGGCAGAGATTAAAAGGTTCCTTAAAGAGCCTAATAAAGGAGGTAGTAGAAAAATGAAGTTGCGTTTGCTAAACTATATACTGATAGATGAAGAGTTGTTTAAGAAACGCTTTGATGGTATATTACTAAAATGTGTAAGTTTGCAAGAAGCCAGAACAATCATGGCTAAAGTGCATGAAGGGATATGTGGAGCTCATCAAGCTGGCCAAAAGATGAGATGGTTAATTATTAGGAATGGATATTTTTGGCCCAAGATGGAAGAATCACGTGTTCAATATGCGAAGAATTGTCTAGCATGCCAAAAGCATGGTCCAATACAAAGGGCGCCAGCAAGAGAGATGTCACCCATTATCAAACCTTGGCCGTTCAAGGGTTGGGCGATAGACCTGATAGGGAAGATTTATCCCCCATCGTCCAAGCAAAATACATTTGTTATAGTTGCGATTGATTTTTTCACTAAGTGGGTAGAAGCGGTACCTTTAAAGGAGATCACCCAAAAGAGTGTCATAGAATTTCTCCGTGATCATATTATTTATAGATTTGGGATTCCACAAACTTTAATGGTAGATCATGGAACTTCTTTAAATGGAGATCAAGTGAATAAATTCTTGAGCGAGTTTGGAGTTAAATTAGTAAACTCCATACTATATTACGCTCAATCTAACGGACAAGCAGAATCTTCTAATAAGATTCTAAAAAATATCATAAGGAAAATGATAGATGAAAATGCCAGAAATTGGCACGAATGTCTAAACAAGGCCTTATGGACTTATAGGACGTCGCCTCGGTCAAGCATCAAAGTTACTCATTTCCATCTTACTTATGGACAGGAGGCCGTTTTGCCTATGAAAATCAATGTACAATCAATCAGTGTGTTTGCAACATAAGTTAAGGGATAGTGAGTATACTGAATCACTAATTCAAAACTTATTGGAGTTGGACGACTGAAAGTTGGACATTCTAGATAGATTGCAAATTCAAAAACAAAGGATGGCTAAGTTTTATAATAAAAAAGTTATAGCTAGGTCATTTAGCCTGGGCAAATTGGTTTGGAAAGCAATACTCCTTTCGATAGCAAGGATTCAAAGTATGGCAAGTGGTTGCCCAATTGGGAAGGGCCATATAAAGTAAATAGTGTGTTGCCTAATGGAGCTTACCATCTAGAAGATTTAGATAGCACCAAGAACATGAGGTTCATTAATGGCAAATATTTAAAAAAGTATGTTCCCTCCTTATGGGAGAATGAACAAATAAAAATGCAATCAAATTGCGTTGAACGATCCTAGATAAATAGGGCCAGAACGAAATACGTTCAAAATAAATTCCTTTATTATCAAATATACATTACAAATTGTGAGATACAAAATACTAAATGCTCTGTAAGCTACAATTGAGAGCAAACTAATTTCTCGGTCGATCGTCAAGCAAGAGGGTGAACCGGCCTTGGTCGTCGTCTTGATCGCGCTGCTGCAAGGGCAGGAAGAGAGGCCGAGAAGCACTCTCAACAAGTAAAAAGGAAGAAAAGCACCCTCAAATTGCTTGCCTAATCGCATTGCTACAATAACGGGCAAGGAGATTGAGAAACACTCTCAACAAGCAAAATGGCTTGAAAAGACATCCTCAAAAATTGTCTTCCATAATTGAACTCCTTATAAAGAACATGGAAACGATGGGAAGAGCTTTGCTGGCCAAAGAAGTTTCCTCGAATTAAAGAATCGATTAGTGTCAGTCCCAGTTCTCACCCTTCGATCTCCCGGTGAAGAGTTTGTGATATATAGTGATGCTTCACGTCAGGGCCTTGGTTGTGTTTCGATGCAAAATGGGAAAATCATAGCATATGCTTCCAAGTAGTTGAAGAAACATGAACTAAGTTATCATACACATGACTTAGAGCTAGCTGCAGTTGTCCTAACCTTGAAATTTTGGAGACATTACTTGTATGTCGAGAGATGCCAGATATATGCAGATCATAAAAGCTTAAAGTATATTTTTGATCAAAAAGAGTTAAACTTGAGGCAAAGAAGATGGTTAGAGCTGATAAAAGATTAGGACTACAAGCTTGATTATCATCCAGGGAAGGCTAATGTAGTTGCTGACGCTCTAAGTCGAAAAATATCGAGTCCTATGACATAGAATAACACATTATGTTCATCTTTGTTTGGTGAGTTCAGAGCTTCTCATGCCCAATTATCAGTTACCAGTGTAGGAGCATTGTTTGCCAACTTCCAAGTGAGGCCTATTTTGATTGACACAGTTAGAGAAACTCAAACTCAAGATCTAGTGTTGAGCAAATTGAAAGAAGAAGTTAGTAAAGATAAGGATACAGATTATACTATTCGAGATGACGGAACTTTAGTTATGGGAAACAGATTATGTGTTCCAGATGATTCGAAATTGAAGGAAGAAATTCTAGAAGAGGCACATAGTTCAGCTTACGCGATGCATCCAGGTAGTACAAAAATGTATCATGTACTCAAAGAACACTATTGGTGGCATGAAATGAAGAGATAAATAGCTGAGTTTGTATCCAGATGTCTCATTTGCCAGCAAATAAAACTAGATCGTTAGAAAATAGCAGGATTGTTACACATGTTGCTTATTCCTAAGTGGAAATGAGAAACATTACTATGGATTTTCTATTTGGACTTCCACGGACTCAGAGTGGACATGATGGCATATGGATCATTGTAAACAGGTTAATGAAGACTACTAGATTTTTGCCAATTAAAGTCACTTACTCGTTAGATAAATTGACAAAAATATATGTTGATGAGATAATCAATTTGTATGGGACACCAGAATCTATTGTTTCAGATAGAAATTCTCATTTCACTTCTAAATTTTGGCCTAGTTTGCAGAAAGCTTTGGGTACTAAACTTCATTTCAGTACAGGTTTTCATCCTCAAACAGATGGTAAGCCAGAAAGAACCATTCAGACTTTGGAAGACATGTTACGAGCTTGTGTACTACAGTTCAAAGGGAATTAGGACACTCATCTTTCTTTGATGGAGTTTGCTTATAATAACAGTTATCATTCGAGTATAGAAATGGCTCCTCTTGAAGCACTGTATGGTAGAAAATGCAGAACTCCAGTATGTTGGGATGAAGTTGGTGAAAGAAAGTTATTGGGTCTTGAATATATCCAGATTACTGCTGAGAAAGTAAAGATAATTAAAGAAAAGTTAAAGACACCCCAAGATAGATAGAAGAACTATGCAGATAGACGCAGAAGAAACCTTGAAATTGATGTTAGGGATAGAGTTTTCTTGCGATTGTCGCCATGGAAAGGTGTTATAAGATTTGGTAAACGAGGTAAATTAAGTCTGAGGTATATTGGCTCATATGAGATTGTTGAACGCATTGGTCCAGTTGCGTATCGATTGGCTTTGCCAACAGAATTGTCTAGAATTCATGATGTATTCCATGTTTCCATACTTCTAAGTATATTCTAGATCCATCTCATGTTTTGGAATCACAACTAGTAGAACTGAAGGAAAATCTTACCTATGAAGAAGAACCAATTCAGATATTGGACAGGAAGGAACATGTCTTGCGCAGTAAGACTATTCCTTTGGTTAAAGTTTTGTGGAAAAATCAGGCTGTAGAAGAAGCGACATGGGAAAATGAAGAGCAGATGCGTTCTCAGTATCCACGACTTTTTCATACATGATCAATTGAATTTCGAGGACGAAATTCTTTTAAAGATGTGAGTTTTGTAATACATTAAGTTAAAAAAAAAAAAAAAGTCAAACATACACAAAAAAAGGGGGCAAAAGATAAAACTAAAGTGGTAGGCGGTGGAAAACTTATACAAATCCAAAACCAATTTAGTAACACACACACAACACAAACAAAAGAAAACGGACCAGAGAGAAGAAGAAGAGAGAAAAGAGAAAGAAAAAAGAAAAAAGAAAAAAAAGGAAGAACAAGAAGAAAAAAAAAGGAAAATTTGCCAACGTATTAGGAATTAAGTGTGTTATACTATTAGGCTTGAATTCCTCAATTTTGAAAGATAAGTAAAAAGTTATTTATTGAAAGGTTGTGTTTGATTTTATAGTTGTCAGATTAAATTTAATTTTATTGAAGGGGGTAAGTATAATAAACTATGAAATTGAGTAAAATGAAAGAAAAATTAGTTTTAGTAATTAAAGTGACTTTAGAAATCGCCTAAATGTGAAATAATTAAGTTTGAGTATTGCTTATTTAATTATTGAAATTACTTCAATTGGTTAATTATTGATTTAAAAATGATATCATATTTCAGGCGGCGATACGATTATCGGGACAGCGTACCAATCGAGTTGATTTTGACGTACATAGTTCTGTAAGTGGAAAAATATAAATATTTTTAAAGTATTTATGAATTAATTATTTTATCAATGTATGTGCAATTATGTGTTCGAATTATATGGTCATTATGAAAATATCTTTTATTATAATACATGTGGAATATCAAAGATTATTTATGACACATTTATATAAGACATGTGATATTAAGATTTGTTTGGTATCTAAGACATGTAATATTGAGATCGGCCAGAAAAGTACCCATGATTATATACTTCTTCTAGTTCACAGAGGGGCATTAGCCGTGTTCTATTCTACACGGAGGGTCTTGACTTGACATTGGTCTTGATCGTGTACATATAATTCACAGAGGGGCCTTGATTGTATTCTAGAATTGATTATGAGAGGTCTTTAAGACCTGCTCTCGTTCTTAGCCCGAGAGGCGGATTACATATTTCAGTCAGATGGTACATTTTTGGTGAATTTTTCAGCACATTTGATGTGATGAGATTATAGCATGGTTATCAGCTGATATTATATCATGATTTTAATATGATATTTTATGACCTTATATGAATATTTCACTTTTTGGCTATAATTACATGATGGAAGTTTGTGAATTATCAAATGATATGAATTTGATTTTCAATAAAAATGTATAAATGAAAAAATATATTCATTTTGAACTTTTCTACTCACTGAGCTATCAATTCATATACTTTTCCACGTTTTTTTTATTAGGCAGCAGTTGAGAATTTGGGCATCTTTTGGCGTTGAGCCTTGATTTTGGAGTCAGAACCACACGACAGAATTTGTTGGTATGACTCACTTCATAGAACATGTAGTCAGTGTTTTGGAATGCATGTTCATGTCTAAATGTGATTTTGCATTACTTGTAAATAGTTATGGGGCTCACTATGCATTTTGTATCCATATGTATATTTCATTTTATTTCTTGGTAAAGATTGAGATTTCAGCTTATCTTTATTGTGATGTGCTACAGTTTGGAATTTGTATGAAATTGATCACAGGTTGGTTAGTTTTATTTACTGGGGAGATAATGCCGAAATTCGGTTAGAAAAATGATGTATAAAAAGTGATATATGGTATTTGTAGTAGCCTTGATGGTGGGTCCGACTTTTAGTTGGTATCTATCATCGACGCATGCCACTTCCAGATTTAGTAGTGTTACACGGGGCGAGTGTGTCAGAACCCTCCCCAAATCCCATTCCTCCGAAATTCCTATTGGATTGAGTCAATTTGTTGAAAAGTAAGGATTAGAGCTCCAATTAAGAGTGCCCATTTGGGATTGAGTATTGTTAACGGTGTGCCTCAAAATTAGGCTTTGGATTCTTCAAGTTTACGTAAGAGATTTGGAAAATCAATTGAATCCAAAAATTAAGGAAACAAAATCTGGGCTCCAAATTTTTTTCCTTTGACGTGATTTTTCTTAATTATAACCTAATTTCTTACCTTTTAGGGTTCTTTTAGGGTTATGCTATAAATTAATTTGTTGGTATGACTCACTTCATAGAACATGTAGTCAGTGTTTTGGGATGCATGTTCATGTCTAAATGTGATTTTGCATTACTTGTAAATAGTTATGGGGCTCACTATGCATTTTGTATCCATATGTATATTTCATTTTATTTCTTGGTAAAGATTGAGATTTCAGCTTATCTTTATTGTGATGTGCTACAGTTTGGAATTTGTATGAAATTGATCACAGGTTGGTTAGTTTTATTTACTGGGGAGATAATGCCGAAATTCGGTTAGAAAAATGATGTATAAAAAGTGATATATTGTATTTGTAGTAGCCTTGATGGTGGGTCCGGCTTTTAGTTGGTATCTATCATCGGCGCATGCCACTTCCAGATTTAGTAGTGTTACACGGGGCGGAGTGTGTCAGAACCCTCCCCAAATCCCATTCCTCCGAAATTCCTATTGGATTGAGTCAATTTGTTGAAAAGTAAGGATTAGTGCGCCAATTAAGAGTGCCCATTTGGGATTGAGTATTGTTAACGGTGTGCCTCAAAATTAGGCTTTGGATTCTTCCGTTTACGTAAGAGATTTGGAAAATCAATTGAATCCAAAAATTAAGGAAACAAAATCTGGGCTCCATATTTTTTTCCTTTGACGTGATTTTTCTTAATTATAACCTAATTTCTTACCTTTTAGGGTTCTTTTAGGGTTATGGACGTGGCCTATAAATTAAAGGAACCTCCGTCAATTTTATAGAAACTTTTTCGCTGTTCAGTTGTAATCTCTCCATATTGTCGGGTTTAATAAAATTCATCGTTCCTCTATTTAGTTTCTCTTTTTCTACTTTATTTTAATCTTGTTTTCGTGGTGCGATTTTGAATATTTCATTATTGTTATTAAATCAAAATCTTGCATTGCTTTTGGGATCAACAAGTACTTGAATCATTATAACCAGTATAAAATTGTAATACCCCGAACTTCACGTTTTACATTTGGCCAATATGATTCATGCATTTCATGCTAATTACATTATCATTTGTATCAATTTCCTGATTGCCTTCTCTTAAAACGATGCATTTGATCATCAAGGCTTTAAAATCTTTACATGGTGATAACCTTCGACTCTTCGATCTAGGTGGTGAATTTTATATTGAGCTATGATAGAAAGGTAGATTAACTAAATGTTGGAGATTGGCTTGGTAAGTAATGTAATATTTGAAAGGCCGAAAATTTGTATCAACAAAGGTTCAAGCTTTCCATTCGGCTAATCAAGGTCACCTTAAACCCTAGATAGGTAATTCAGATATTTGGGACATGAGGGATGAAGTGACATTATCACAACGTAATAATATATGTCTTATACGACATTATAAATATTGAGGTGCGAATTGTTGAAATCGGTTGAGAATCGGGTAAGAAATTAAATGAACAGCTGAGGAATTAGATCTATAAAGTACTTTGGGATCTTAATGCAAGTGAAATAGATTGTAAGCACATCAAAATAAACGAATGACACTTGATTTATACCTGCAAGGATAGATGTAAAATCAGAATCTAATCAAAGGAGACAACACCTACTTAACATGTGACGACTTGCCACTTTAACCTCTAATTCCTTCAACCTTAAGCCTCCAACACGTCCTATAAGTCCTTAGAACTTTACCTAAGATATTTATAACTCTTCTAAGTCACAAATGGCTCCATGTGGTGCAAGGGAGAAGTCAAAGTTGGCTGCAAGAAGC